GCCTACAAACCACCAAAACACATGGAAAATGGACAAACATGGACAAGGGGGTTTTACGGCCGTAAACCCATGAGTTTACGACCGTAAACTCCCCAAGGGTGGTCCAAGGACCGTAAACCCTAATTCCTAGGCCATTTCATGTCCCGATCACTTCCTAAACCCTCGAATCAACCATAGATCCTTCCTATGTGCAAGATGAGACCTTGGATTACTCAAACCATCACACCCATGAGTTTACGGCCGTAAACTCATGGGGATGTGGTCTTTGGACCGTAAACTCCCCTAAGGGTTTACACTTGAAGAGTAAACACCTTATCTAGGCCCTACACTCCTTAGATACAACCCGTACCATCCCTAACACTTGAATTGAAGTGTTTTCGTGCCTCGGAGTGTATTATCCCGCTATCTTAGTAAATCAAGTCTAATTAGATACAATTATGTATCTCTTCATGTTACATAGGAACCTCACGCGTGTTCAAGCCCTAAACTGATACTTAGCATCTAAATCGGCACATTCTCGTCAGGTGAGTTCATACCCCTACACCATTTTTTCTGTGTTTTCATGTTTTCAGGGGGGAATACAAGCAAAAGTACAAGGAAACTTGTACTCAAATCTATTATTTCGTATAAACAACTACATGATCAATTGTTTTAAACATTGAAATCCGTATTAACCAACCGTCTAACTCGTGGAGTTAGTTTTCAAAACCAATTGTGAAACTCATTATAAAATGTTACATTTTACATTTCACAAGGATTTCATGTCATTTCATAAACCGGATTTTCTATACTATTACTTGTAAAGTTTCATTATTCTTATGATTGGAGACACGTCCTCGGTAACACTCCACATGGATACGAGAGTGGAGGACTACTCCCGTAACCAGAATCTCTTGGAGGGAGAGCGTGACTTGAGTGTATAGATCTATACGGGGCTGACTACCCCGCACCCTGCTGCTAGCTACAGTCGGATCGTCAGGTCCATGGGTGACAAAAGTCATAAATGATGATGGACTTCTTATTGCCATATCTAGTCTATCGTATGGTTATGGAACTCGCAACTTAGATAATGGAGATTTACTGATAAAGTAATAACGAACCTAGTGAACTAACCTCCTAGTAATAACTGTCTTTGATTACTACTAGTTCACTACTTACTTATTAGTTTTGTGTACGTGTCAAAACTAATATGCTTACCACGGGATACTAGTCATTCAGTATGTTTCACTAATCGATACAAGTATGGTAGATACTTGTACACATCATTTCAGAATCGATAACCAGCGAATATTTTTCATAAGAAAACATAGGGTTTTCTTGGGATAACGTAACTTTTCATAAACAAGGTTGTATGGTACATCTAACGAGAAATCAAATCATATTTTCATAAGGAAGCTTGCAGGATTTTCTTAATTCAAATTGTGTAACAAAGGGATAACCAAACTACTTTTATAAGAAATACGGGATTTTCTTGGATATCAACTGTTCTTGAAACTAAAGGAAATGAATCTTTTTCCAGAAAACAAACCGCTTATGAACTCACCAGCTTTATGCTGATATTTTAAAACTGCTTGTATTCTCAGGGCATCCATAGACAGGTACTCCTACTAACTTTTTGAAGAAGACGGGGCATATAGAAGACTCGTCTTTACTTTTGTTCTAACCAATGTATCTAAGAAAAACTTGTAGTACTTTATTTTCAAACAAATGTAAAACTTTCTCATGTAATGTAATGGTTGTGTTTACTATGCTTGCTATGTACATTGGTTGTGATACTCTACATGACGTCACTCCGCCCCGTAACGTTTCCGCCATCGGTTTCGGGGTGTGACATGATCCCTAACAGTCTATTTATAGGCAACAAATAAATTCTTAAGCAATTTAAAGTTTTCAGGATAATCCTTACCTTATATAAAACTTTCTTTATCCTTATCCAAGGGACATCAAAACTGTCCATAGCCTCCTTCCAAGAAGTTTCTGGAATATTCTGATTAATCTTTAGGATTTAATTGTTATTCAAGCTCTTTAATTAATTAAAATAATATTAATTAATTCCAAAATAACTTGCAATTAATTTATTAATCATTTAATAATGTAATAACTTATTTTCCTCTATTTCCTTATTACTAATTGTGTTATGAGGCCAACCCAAAAAACCCTATTATTATTAAAAATATTACCAAACAATTAATGACCTTATACACTATTTCTAACATAGGTCATCATACAATCCGAATATGTGCAACAGGATAAAGATGTAAGGGGGTCATTGGCCCTTCCTCTTACACTTCTTGTAAGTTAGCATCATGATGTACATTTCCCCTACTAATATTAGTGTTCTCTAGGAACTTGGCATGATGAGTTTCAACTATGTGACTGGAATGAGAAGGACAATAAAATCTAAATCCCTTTGAGCATTTAGGATACCCTATAAAGAAACAACTGATGGTTTCATGTTAAGTTATCTTTGTTGAAGGTTATAGATCTTAGCTTCATTTGGGCAACCCTATACTTTCAGATATCTCAAACTCGGTTTCCTTCCCGTCCAAATTTCCTAAGGTATCTTAGGAACGAATTTGTAAGGATCCCGATTGAGTATATGGATTGTCGTCTTTAATTCCTCGATCTATAAGAATTAAGGTAAGTTGGTATTTGCTAACATAGTTCTTACCATGTCTATAAGGGTCCTATTTCTTCTCTCAGCAGCACCATTCTACTGAGGAGCACCTGACATGGTAAATTGATTTACGGTCCCGTGTTCCTTGCAAAAGTCAAAGAAAGGACCAGGAGCCTGACCAATATTAGTATGTCTACCATAATATTCACCTCCTCTATCTGATCCCACTACCTTTATCTTACGGTCGTGTTGATTTTTAACCTCAGTCTTAAAGTCTTTAAACATGTCAAGTGATTCAGATTTTTCATTAATCAAATACAAATACATGTATCGTGAATGGTCATCTATAAAAGTGATAAATGACTTATGTCTAGATATTCCTACGGTAAGGTTCCACAAACGTCAATGTGTAAGAGTTATAGTAAACTAGTTATCATTGCGGCACCTCTTTTATTTCCCTTTTCCATTTTACCCTTAAGGCACTTCACACATGTCTCAAAATCATTAAAATCGAGAGTTGGTAACACTCCATCCTTAACGAGTCTTAACATTCGGTCTCGTGATATATGGCCTAAACGTTGATGCCACAACATAGATGAGGTTTCCAAGTCTCGTTTCCTTTTATGAAACTTTTCATTTACATTATATGAAAACAATAATTTTGAGAATTGGTCATCCATGTACAGTTTATAGAGTTTTCCATCCAAGTAATCGCGACCAATAATGTCAGAAATTGATTTAATAGTGACTTTTACATTACCAAATGTTACATAATATGCGTCGTTGTTTAACTTCTGTATAGATACTAGATCACGAGTCATCCTTGGTACATAAAGAGTATCATATAAGTTAAGACAACTACCACTTGCAAGACTAGTTGCAAAGTACATAAGGTTTCAATATTTAGGTCATCACCATTCCCGAATTTGATGGTCCTTTGGTTTCTTTCAAACTTATGGATTGTATGGAAACCTTGTAAGGTGTTAGCAACATGTACCATAGAATCGAAATCAACCCACCATGTGTTTACAGGAACACAAATATTAAAGGACTTATAGACCATAAATAGATGATCGACATTATTTGCTAGTTATTCCTTTATCTTTGGACACTCTCGTTGAAAATGCTTTTTCTTATGACAAAATTTACAACAAAGAGGGTCCTTAGGAGTAGTAAAGCTAGAGAATGTATTTGTATTTGTATTTGTATTTGTTTTATGGACATTTGAATATGATCTCTCCGACTCTTCATGCACCCTCTTATGCTCTTGCGAGGTTTGGTTAATGAGTGCAACGGGAGGATCATCCCCCAAAGCATTGTCTAAGTTCTTCATTCCAAGTGTTGGTTTAATAGTGGTTTGATAGTACTTCACCATGATGCAAAGTTAGTGTCAGTCAAGGGTTCAAACCCAGAATTACGAGTTAAAGTAGTCAGTAGATTGATACAATTAAGACAATTATATCTAGAAGAACAAAAGTGAGCTAATATATATATAAGAGTAATCACATAAAACAAGCAAAATTAGCATGTTGAAGATTAAGTCTATTATAACACGAAAATAATAGACTAAATTAAGGTTCTACATGAATATTGGCTTCACATTGGCTATGACCAACACTCAAGTGTTTGGAACATATATAAAGAATAAATACGCCACATAAATATCATACGTCACCTTTTGATAGAAATATAATATTTATGCATATTAGAATATGTATTATCAAACCATTAGTCTTTGAGTTCCTTGTTTAAAAAATTACATACAATTACATAAAATTGCATTATTTAAACTTCAAATGCCAAATCAAATGATATACTGATGGATTAATCATCTAAGACGTCGTGGCCATTTGTTTTTAATAATTTAATCTACAATTTTTTGAGTTCATGATTATTGTTATTATACATATTTAATAACCCATGGTAGATTAATAAACATAAGTTTCAACTCCTAAGACTAGATTATTGTAATAGTTAAGTGAATAGCCTAAAATGTATCGGTGGTTCCCAAATAATGGTTGGGCCTTTTATTAATATTTGGGCCGATTGAAGAATTATTAGCAGACCAGATTAAATCATTAAAAGGCCGGCGACGTTGAGGGCGTTGTTTTTTCGATGCAGTCGCACACCAATTCTGAAAACACGAAGAATCGCTGACGAAAAACACAAAGAAACAATAATTTCGGGGAAGCGATTTATTATTATTACTATTTCTCTTTCTTGCCTATTAGATCGAAATTTACTGATTTCGGATTCAATTCTCATGACATTCCAACATAATATCAAGATAGTTACTTGATTTAAGCAATCCATATAGGAAAAATCGTTCAAAGAAACTCACTCATATAGAAGTATGGAATGATAGTTATCAGTCAAGCTTGGAGGGGCAAACAACACTACTAGCACATTAGTTATTAAATCATAAAATCTCAAATGATTTGATATTACAATACGAGTTATAAGAAGTCAAAACATAAACAAAAGGCAAAGTACATTAGTACATACATCATATCAACATCTCTTCAACTTCATTCATTAATATACCCTTTGTCTGACACGCCTCCCATCAGGGCCACTTCCATCCAGATTGACATCATTCCCAGTTCCGGTTCCAGTCCCACGTCCATATGATGTGACAGAGTGTTCTCTAATCCTCGCCACATATTCCAATAACTCCGTAATGACACACGGACAGCTTTGTGTCAAGTAATCAAATCCATCGCTTTGCATCACAGCTACAAAAATAAAAATAATTAATTACCTTTCTTTCAATTTCACATAATCAAAATTTAATTTTTTTGAAATGAAGAAAACGTACCTTTGAGGTTTTCAGGCTCAGCAACAAACTTGAGGCAAACGGATTTGAGTTGAAAACAATGGTGTTGTTCGGCTAAAGCTAAAGTTGTGGCTACAGTGTTGATGGCAACTTCTTCACAAAGTTTGGTTTCACAAAGAAACCGAAGCCTTTCGATTCCATATTGATCGGCTGCAGCGAGTAGATGTTGGGACATAAGTGTGGAAGCCCATTGTTGACTCAAACCTATCAACTCTTCCATGTCTGGAACCTTATCCCAATATATGAAATAGAGTAACGCCTGTAAAAAAAACACATCCCGTGCACTTTTGTTACACATGAGTCTTGACAGGACAGGTCGTACTGTGTTTGGTGTTTGGCAGGACATGACATCAAACACGAAAAGACAGAACAAGTCGTACTGTTTTTGACCGGACAGAACAGGTCGTACTGTTTTTGACCGGACAGAACAGGTCGTACCGTGTTTGGTGTTTGGCAGGACATGACATCAAACACGACAGGACATGGCAGGTGGTACTGCTTTTGACAGGACATAACAGGTCGTACTGTTTTTGACAGGACATAACAGGTCGTACTGTTTTTGACAGGACAGGTCGTACTGTTTTTGACAGAACAGAACAGGTCGTACTGTTTTTGACAGGACAGAACAGGTCGTACTGTTTTTGACAGGACAGAACAGGTCGTACTGTGTTTGGTGTTTGGCAGGGCATGACATCAAACACGACAGGACATAACAGATTGTCCTGTTTTCGAAACATTGTCCTGTTTTCGAAACAGGTCGTACTGTTGTTTTTGACAGGACAGAACAGGTCGTACTGTTGTTTTTGACAGGACAGAACAGGTCGTATTGTTTTCGTATTGTTTTTGACAGGACAGAACAGGTCGTAGTTTTTGACAGGACGGAACAGGAGGTCGTAGTTTTTGACAGGACGGAACAGGTCGTAGTTTTTGACAGGACATAACAGGTCGTACTGTGTTTGGTGTTTGGCAGGACAGGACGGAACAGGTCGTAGTTTTTGACAGGACAGAACAGATCGTACTGTGTTTGGTGTTTGGCAGGACAGGACATAACAGGTTTTACTGTTTTTGACAAGACAGAACAGGTTTATTGTTTTTGACAAGACATGACAGAGAAAAGAGAACAGGTTGTACTGCATTTGGCATTGATTGGACTGGGATTGGGATTGATGTCAATGGGACAAAACTTGCACCAAAAAAAGTGGCATTATTGGCTTTCATTTAGCTTTAAAATATAATTAAAGTATCATGAAATAAGGTAGAAAAACGAACCTTAAAAACAGGAGCTTTGATTTCTTGAACTTTAATACAATCGGTATTATTGTCCTTCATAGGGCCAAAAAGTTGTGCTTTAAACACAGGTGAACGTGCAGCAAGAACCAACTTGTGTGCGCGAAACATTTCCCCATCAACTTCGAGGGTTAAATCCGTCAATTCACCACTTTCCAAGAGATGACCAAAATGTTGACTGATATCAGATGGTGGTGAAGATATACTGAAAATCTGTGGGCCCTCTGTACATGATTTAACAACACCAACAGTGCACTTAACAAGGAGACAATCATCTTTCAGGTAGTCTGATGTTTCCAATACTGTCCTTCTTAGAAAACGCTTGTAACCCCTGCAGGAAATTAACTGGATGCTTAAGTTATTGAGTTCCACATTGCAAAAGACGTAAATGCCCTTGTCCTAGTCATTGATAATATCCCTACTGGAAATGAGACTGATGTTAATGGGACAAAATTTTCCACAATCAATCAATTATGGATTCAACTTATTTTTGAGCATGATAACATACGTGAAAGATTTGTAACTGACTCACGAAATATTTTATTGTATAAAAGTATAAAGTTCATGAATGACATTTGACTGATATTGATACTCATAAGCATAAACAAACCTAGAAAGCTAGTGTCCATGGGTGGAATAACGTGCAAAAGAACTCCCAAAGCTTTGTTGTATAGCTTCCTAACTTTCTTGAATGAATAACAACTGAAGTATAAGGGTTTCAAGTTTCAACCCCTAAAGAACATCCTAGATATGATAAAAAGTATATAGATCCTACAAGCCTTTTGGGTTCTTCAAACAAAAAATCTAGCTACTACGAACATCAAGAGTACTTTTGCAGCATTATGGCTAGTAATTATCACACAGATTAATGTGATTTGCAATTTCTTGACAAACTGAGAACCAATATCCACTTTGAAGTTGATACATAATATATTGATTGGTGAATCCAAATCTTTTTATAGAATATAAGTAAGAGTAACTTTGTTGATCACACACCTCCTCACAAACCAAAGTCCCTAACCCTCAACCACACACTAGTACGCTACAATTATCTTTTTATAAAAGAACAATATGAGTTACTGCTCTGATTCACAGTTATTAACTTGGATGGTTATGGTAGCCTGGTAGGTTTATTCTTGTTGAGAATTAAAGACAAAATGTCCGATATGTTTCAGTGCTTCATGTATTTCAGTACCAACCAATAACTCGTAATATCATATAAACAAGAGCATACTAATGATCGGAATGAAGCTACGCTTACCACATGCTTCCACGATACTTGAGTGTGTAAGGACCAGCATCCAACACCCTCCCAAAATGCGTGTGAACTTTATGCCTTCCTTTCCCGCTCTGATCCATCAACGACAACTCGAACAAAGCTCTAACATCCGTTGCATCGCTGGCTAGCGCTATAAACAACGAGACGTAAGTTGAATTGTCTTCTGGGCTTTTGCCATCGGGATAGAAATAAATCGCCCACGTATGGCCACCGACGGTGAAGGATTCCGACGCTATGTACTTTCCCACACCCATTCCTTTGGAGGACTCATAGCCGGTGATCTTGAACTCATGCGACGCGTTTACGGTGTCTGTTGAGGAGATTGATGAGCTTGTGGTGGAAGGAAACGATGTCCGTGGAACTGGGGTTTTTGATTTGGAAATTCTGATGATCGTGCCCATCAAATTCGTGAGCAGATCTTGTGAGTTTTCGTGTTTTGGATGATTTGATAAATGGATCAGAAAGTTTGGTGAGAAATATTGTGTGCGAGAATTGGGAAATTACGCTTAACTAGGGTTTTGGTAAGAACTCGATATTTGTGAAATGGGCAAACTTTTATCAAACCCTTTTTTTGCAAAACTTATAGCATATACACACATTAAACTACAATCACCCATTATTGTTAGCATAATTGCATAAATATATTGTGTTTTTGGGAAATGGAACTTCTCTGGGCCAGTTTTTACGTACCGACTAATCTCCGCAGCATGAAGCTTTGTCTCATGTCCTGGAGTCATTGCAGGCGAACCTCCATGGTCACAAGGGTTGAATGGTGTCAGGATTTGAACATTGTTCAATAGGTTATCCACCATATCTTCAACATGTCTTACCAAGTCACCACAACCCAAGTGGTTGCATAAATATATTGTTGTTGATATTAATAATATTTAAACAATACTTAAGAAAATAATAGCCTACTTAATGAATATAAATTTCTAAAAGTTGGGATATGATTTCATAAACATCATTTATTTCTCTATTAACATATAATAATAATAATAATAATAATGTTATTAATATACACAAATTGAAGCTCAAATAGTCGAATTCACGAGACGCATCGGTAATAATTTTTTTGACAATCTCATTCCCGAGTTCAACTTAACGAGAGAAAAGAAAAGAAATTAGTGGAAGTAATAAGAAAGTAAAAGAAACTATTGTTTCTGAATTTCATTAAAATAATGAAGTGGAAGGAAATGAAGGGAAATGGGATGATCACTTTCCCTTGTAACTTTCCTTTCGATTAGAAGAGTTTCGTACCCTTGTCTCCCAATTCCCATGGCACACCTTTAACCACTTAGCTAGATGGATTCTTGTATTTTAATTCCTAACTTAATTTACTTAATGTGTATTGTGTTGGAACAATTAAATAATAGGTATTATTATTATTATTATTATTATTATTATTATTATTATTTTATGAATTTATACATACATTTTTATACGTATAAAAAACATAGTTATAAACATAATTATACGTATTTATTCATTTTTAAAAGTGTAATTTTTGGTAGGAAAGTAAGAAGTTTTTTTTCTATATATTTTTTTGAGGAACAAAATAAATGAATCACTAGATGATTCATTTGTAAGATGATTCACAAGAAAAAATTCCCAAAAAAACATCTTTATGATTCATTTTTAAGTAAATTAAGAAAAAAATCACTTTTATGACAATTTTAGTGAATAACAACAAAATCATTGTATAAATGAATCATCGAGATGTTTTTTTGAGAATTTTTTCTTATGAATCATCTTACAAATGAATCATCTAATGATTCATTTTGTTTGTTCGCGAAAAAAATATGTAGAAAAAAAACTTCTTACATTCCTACCAAAAATTTCCTTCTTATTTGATCTTGACTCTATGATGTTTTTTTGGGAATTTTTCCTTGTGAATCATCTAGTGATTCATTTATTTTGTTCGTCAAAAAAATATATAGAAAAAAAACTTCTTACCTTCCTACCAAAAATTTCCTTCTTACCGGATCTATATATATATATATATATATATATATATATATATAACGATTTATATGTATAACGATTTATACGTGTGTGTGTATATATATATATATATATATATATATATATATATAAATAATTGCATTTTTATATGTATTTATATATAAATGTGTTTTTATTATTATAATATATAAATACATTTTTATACGTATTTATACATATAAATACACATAAAAACGTATTTATATATAAATAATAATAATAATGTCTTTATATATAAATACGTATAAAAACACATTTATATATATATATATATATATATATATATATATATATATTTATATATAAATACATCTAAATACAAATTTTATATATTTTAAAATAAAAATACCTATCATAATATTATTTATTTTGTACACAAACGTATATAAAAATATTTAAAACGTTATCTAGCCATATATAAATATTGTTTATACATATAAAAATGTATAAAGGCATTTTTTACATATTTATTAAATTTTTTTATATAAGTATGTATAAAAATATGTTTTAAATAAAATAAATGCATATACACGTGCTAAATATATTTTTATACAGTTAATTATATTTTTTATCTACCAAATATACAGATTAATAATAATAATAATAATAATAATAATAATAATAATAATAATAATAATAATAATAATAAAATTTCAGTGTTTTACACAATGTATAGGAATAAAGGTAGGATAATTACATCAAAAATCTTATAGCCTAATGGTAAGGCATTTGTTAGTAAGAAGGAGGTGGTAGGCACGAGACCCAATTTCGAAATTATGCAGCCTTATTTTTATTGCCCCACAAGTTTTTACTTTCCTTGAAGGAAAGCATGCCTAGTCAGCAAGTGTTACGTGGTGTCAGCTCCCTCTCAGCTATGGTCGTCCACTCCAACTCTAGCCGAGTCGGCTAGGTGACCGGTCTTAGAAGGTATAATGCGGCTAAGGGTCAAAATTGAACAAATTATTCAGTATTTGAGGCATTAACGAACAAAAATCAACATTTGGGCATAACCGACTGTTCTGTGTAAAATTGGGGCTTTATAGCAACAACCCTAGATTTTAGTCATTTGTATAAGACTTCTTGTCTGTATTTGGGCGGAAGAAAATCTTGTTCTTTTTCAATTTTTTATTTTTATAAAATTGCATATTTTCTAAAAAAAATGCCTAGGAAAAGCTGTCAAAATGTGTCACGGAAATATTATAATACAGTGTTTCATCGAAAATGACTAGGAAAAATTTGTCGCCAAACGTGTCAAAGAAATCAGTCATAAGAGATGTTCCCCAAAAATGGCTAGGAAATTTATTTCCTTGATAATCAGTTTTCTCGGAAAACCCTCAAAATACCAACAAATATAGCGAGTATGGTATTTCCTCGGAAAACCCTCATAATACAAGCAAAATTGTCGCATATGGGAAAAATGTTGGAAATTCCGACGATATAGATCTAGTAAAAAATGTATCTGAACTTGTAAATCCCTCAAAAAAAATTTCGTAAGAGCATATTTCTGACAAATTTTTTTCCTCGGATCCCTCGCAAATGCCTGTTTCCAGGGGATTTCCGATTGGAAATAACGTCTTTATAGTAGTGATATATGGATGGTATCACTTTGTAAGTTATCTATAGTTTATTAGAGAAGAAAGATTTTAATAAAATGACAATTTCTTGTTATAAAATATAAAATGGTAGAAATTTCTGAAGTCAAATTTGGCCGGAGGAAATATATATCACATCATCCTCTTATTGGAGATAAAAAAAAATAACTTATCATTCCGATATAAAATATATTTTGCTTCTAGATGTACCTGTTTATATATGTAGGTTTAAGAGCGGTGATCGGTTTCTAAAAGTCAGTCGTTTTGTTACAAGTCTTTTGTTTACTATCTGCTGAAATTTTAGAGTCGGACATCCACACGTACATCGGCGATTTCTCGTAATTGGAAAAAAATAATTGAATTGCAAAATGCGGCTTTGAGAGTCATTTCATTTTGCCAACCCTTTACATGAAAAATAAAGTCTTCGCTTAAGTTGTTAATACTGAAGTGCAAATGCTTGAAAATTATCACTCACAATTTGTACTTCTATATTTCATTGACTAGCTTTGTTTGAGTGATTCCAACTAGATATTGAGCTTTGTATGGTTAATTTAATATGCGTGATCTTAGCAGTAGAAGAGATAAATCATGTACTAAAGCTTAAGTTCTACCTTTTAAGAAACACATTTAGTCATTTATAATGGATGAATATTGAAGAGTGAATCCGGAAGGAAAGTGATTCGGACAAAGTGACGCTCAAATTATGAACCAATATAAAAAAAAAATTGATTTTAATAAGCAAATCTTGTATCTAGAGATGCATAGAATCATATGATTTCTATTTTGTTCGCAGCATAAACTTTGGGTATTTGTTTTTTAATTAGAAGCTGCGTTAATTTTCCCTTTGAGGTTTATAATAAAAGGTTGGAAAAATGATATCGTAACACAATGAAATTTGGTGATTTTACCCATTTAATCATTCAAGTTTCTTTCTTTATTTTTTTTTTTGTGCAATTAGTCTTAAAGTAACCAATTACCGTCTAATTAAACCATTATGCACCGGGTAAACGGAACAACCGGTTGTATTCTTGATGTGGTGTTACAATAAATTACATATAAACAATATTATATCCACGTAAGTAAATGAAGTCAAGCACATCACATTAAATCACACAAAGCCATACTCGTCACCTTTCTCGAACGGTTCATGCAAGAAAGTATAAATAAGTTATACTATTGTGAACCAGGCAAACCCTTATTGGCTAGGATAACTACTATTACTAATGATGGAGACTATGTTGTTTCATTTTGATGCTTATGGAACCGATGGTATAATTCCCTTTATGTGGACCATGTTGGCGAAGGAATAAAGGATTGGTTTGGTTCTAAGACAGAAGAAGAAGATGGTGATGATTCATGCATTGATGGTGGGGAAAATGAAGAGGAAATTGATAACCTTAGACGTGGAGGTGGACTTTAATGAGGATACAGTCACTATGAACAAAACAAAGGGTGATGAGTTTATGAGTAAATTATGTGGTGAAGAGGAGGAGGCAGATGATGACAACAGAGATGATGATGATGAGGGTGAAGCAGTTGCCATGAATCAAGAACATTCGATTTTTGATGAGTCAATACCATGGAAAAAACATAACCCAATACTTGGTATGAGATTCCAAGATCCGACTCAATTAAAATCTATGTTATGTAACTATGTTGTTGCCAATGTGTACCAACTTTGCTTTGAGAAAAATGATAGGAAAATATTGTTGGTTAAGTGTTGTAAGGGTGAGTGCGCATTCAGGTTGTGGACATCTTGTATGAGTGATGAAGAAAGCTTCCAAATCAAGTCTATAAAACCAAATTACAATTGTGCAAGGAATTACAAGTTAGGCTCAATGGTCATTTATGCTTATATAGGGAGTTATTATACAAGAAAAATCTTACTTAGACAAAAGATGAGTGTTAGAAAGCTAAGATTGACAGTGAAAAAGAAGTTTGGTATTCATGTCA